TTGTGATAGAATATATTTCAGTCCCAAACCAACATTGAGCAAAGCCATTGGTGAAGGATTGAAGAAGAAGAAGAGATTGGATTTATACCCTGCTCTTCACTTGGAGTCTCAGAGCGGCGTACAAACCCCTTTCCCTTCCCCTCCCCACAACAGACACCCTGTGAGGCGGGTGGGGCTGAGAGGGCTCTGAGAGAAACTGCTCTTTTTCAAGGACAGCTGTGCCAGAGCTTGTGACTGACCCAAAGTCACATCAGCAGGTGCAAGTGGAGGAGTGGGGAATCAAACCCGGTTCCCCCAGATTAGAGTCCACGCACTTAACCACTACACCAAACTGGTTGAACGACATTGGAGATTCTTGATATGCTATTCCTGATTTTGTATACAGAACTTATTGTGGGCTCTTTTCGTAGCAGGAACTCCTTTGCATATTGGACAACACACCTCTAATGTAGCCAGTCCTCCAAGAGTTTACAGTAGCCCCTGCAAGAAGAGCTCTGTAAGCTCTTGGAGGATTGGCTACGTTAGGGGTGTGTCGCCTAATATGCAAAGGAGTTCCTGCTACAAAAAGAGCTCATCTGTTCTATTTTGATAAAGTTCTGCGACAAAACGAGGCTGGCTGGATTTAGCGCGCTCGTAAAAGACTTCTCCTGGGAACCATCTGCATCAGATTATTTTGTGTATTTAGGATTGCTATATATGGACTCTTATTGAATGGCCTTGATATTATGTACATTTATATTCCATTCTGTGAAACGTTATCCATTCCCCCGTTCAGTTTTTTGTTCATGAAGTTCATTCGTTATTGGTGATAGAATTCTATAAGAGAAACTGTCTAGGCAATTTGGGATTGCAATATCTATTCTATTGAACGCCGCATTTTGTACAGTTTCCTTTCATCGCTTTTCTTTGCCAGGCACATTTTTTGGGACTTTGTTTCCCCCTTGTCAGTACTGCCGTTTTCTCTTTGTTTTTCTCCCTGCAGTAGTTTTTCAGCTTAAAAGCTTTTTAGTTTTCTAAAGTTCGCCAAGGGCGAACGATATGGAATTTGCATTTTCCTCCCTAGTCACATTTTCCTCCCAAGTAGCCCATTCTCCCTTCTTCATTTCACCTTCACAAAACCCAGTGAGGTCGGTCAGGTTGGGATAATGCGATTGGCCCAAGTTCACCAAGCAGACTTAGTGACTGTTTGAAGATTTGAATCTCTTCTTTGCCCCTGAGGTTCTGATCCAAATCAGGCCTCCGTAGTGCCTGGGAAATGGGTTCTCAGTAGTTGACGGTCTGACTGGAGACAATGAGAGTCAAATTGGGGAAACCAAGTCCCAGCTTGGCAAACAGATTTTGTGTCCCTCAGATACCACAAATTTCAGACTTTCCATGTTTTTACGCGAAACGTTTCTTCTCAGTTATATAGCCACCTTGGCAAGAAGCGTGTAGTAGGGCCTACAGGTTTGAACGCAACATCCTTTCTTTGTGGTGTTTTCCCCCCGTTGATATTTTGATAAAATAAGAGAATTTCCCTTTTCTTCCTTTGCAGAGACGTGAATGAGAGGAACACAGTAAAAGGGTATGTTTTCTCCCTGTTCGTGCCCAGCAAGGCCTTTTGTTAAATCTCAGACTGTTCTGTTTCCTCACAAACGTCTATCTTTCTGGCTATATAGGTTTAGAAAATTTAACATCTTGGGGACAAATACCAAAGTGATGAATATGGAGGAGTCGAATGGAAGTCTGTCAGCAGAATTCAGACATCTGGTGAGGGCGCTTCTTAAAGAAACTATTTTCAAGGTGTTTTTTTTCTTGATGTTCTTCAGGACAGGAAGGTGATTATACCCCTCAGTCGCAGTACGGGATGTTAAAGTGTTAAAACATAGCAAGACATAGCCAGGGCGGTTGTGCCTGTTGGCCGCTGATGTTCTGCACAACCACTTCCCTCTGACTCACATCCCCCTCATGTGGGCATCCATCCTCTTCGCCTTTGGCCCCCCCCCCCTGCGTTCTGCTGCTGCTGGGGGTGTGTCGCCCTGCTGTGGTTCTTTTTGCCTTCCTGGCCACGGCTACTCCTTTTCCCCTTTCGATACTCGGTCTTTCCTTTCCTTTCTTTCCCCCTATCCTGTCCCTATCTCTCCCTACCTCTATTCTTAGTCCTACCCCGTGACCCTAAGCCTAACCCTAACCCGTGATCCTAAGCCTACCCCGTGACCCTAACCCTAAGCCTGACCCTACCCCTACCCCTCAGTTGCAGTACGGGATGTTAAAACATAGCAAGACAAGCAGAATTTTAACCAGTTGGTTGCATGTTGCTAGACTTGGTATCGTACATTGTGTATTATGTATATTCTAAGGTTGCACTGTTCCAAAAAATTTTCTTACGAATACTGAAAGTGGTACTTTACAGCATGTGGGCACAGGAAGGAAACATGATTATAAATATAATGTGTATCTATAAACAAGGGCTACCCTTAAATGAGAAGTCCACAGTACCAGTGTATATATTTCTGCGCGGCGAATGTTAGTTATGATACTGAAGCATAGCATACCATAGATTTTCTGCCACCATGATGGTCAAAGGGCCCCCTACCGCAAGAGGGGTCCCTATTAACAGTAGGAAGTGAGGGGGTGTGGCTCAGTGGTGGAACATCTATTTGGCATGAGGGGAGGTCGCAGGTTCAACCCCCAGCCAGTTTGGTGTAGTGGTTAAGTGCGCGGACTCTAATCTGGGAGAACCGGGTTTGATTCCCCACACCTCCACTTGCACATGGCTGGATGACCTTGGGCAAGCCATAGTTCTCTCAGAGCTGTTCTTGAAAAAAGAGCAGTTTCTGTCAGAGCTCTCTCAGCCCCACCTACCTCACAGGGGGAGGGGAGGGGAAGGAGTTTGTAAGCTGCTCTGAGACTCCCTTGGATAGTGAAGGGTGGGGTATAAATCCAATCTCCTCTTCTTCATCATATCTAGTTAAAAGGACCAGGCAGGAGGTGATGGGAAAGACCTCTGGCTGGGACCTTGGAGAGCAGCTGCCAGTCTGAGTAGACAATACTGACTTGGATGGACCAAGGGTCTGAGTCACTACAGGGCAGCTTCAAGTGTTCCTGCACAGTCAAGAAATGTGGCATAGTCTCTTTTGGCATTGTTGTGTCGTTCCTCCCGTGTTCCTCTTTTTAAAGGGTTATTCTTCAAATGGCTCTTCAGTCTTTGCCGCGGCTTCCACTGGAAAGGGATCTTTTCCCCTTCCTGCCAAAAGAGACTTAAGTCTCGTCTCAAGGGGCATTCCTCCCCGCAGACTCCTGTCTCCAGGTTTTCCTTCCTACTGTCGAAGTCAAGGAACACTCACAGTAAATCCAGAGCTCTGATTTGTTTCTTGGGTGGTGACCTGGAGCTTTTAGTTAGAAAAGGAGAAATTGGACCAGGATCCGGATCGAAGCACCTGCAGGTTCACGGATGTATCAGCCATCCTTGGTCATTTCTAGTCAGAAAGCAGTATTCGACCTTCCCCTTTTCATTTCCCTATAAAATGGTGGGTTTTGTGATACCAGAATATCCCCTTGGGGTGTTCCTACATTCAGCTACACAAAATGAGAAGGAAATGTGTCGGGATGAAATGTACTTTTTGGATCTGTCCCACACTGGGGAAAACCCGCGTTGAAGATTTTTGTTTCTTTGTTGGCAGCAATTGAAAGAGCAGAAGAATGTCTCCAGAACTAATGAGGTAAGAGGACCCCCATGTCGGTGCCACTTTCCTTAGTTTGGCTGTCTTTTCACTAAGCGATACACCGGGGTCCCCATCTTTTGGGAGGGTGTGGGCACCTTTGGGTGGTGGGCGCAACCACAAAACGGCCTCCGTGGAAGGCAGAGCCAGGCACCCACACCAATGTTCCCTCTAAGCTGTGGAGTCTTATGAGCAAAAAATCTACATTGTGAGCTACTGGCATTAAAGTTGTGAGCAAACTGTTTGGCTACTGCATAAATTAGTTTGCTCTGGAGCCCTCCCTTCCTGAGCTAAGGCAAAAATGCGTGAGCCGGAGGCTCTTCTTCTAAGCTGTGGAGCCTCGTGAGCAAAATTTCTACTTCGTGAGTGACTGGCATTAAAGTTGTGAGTGAGCGATTTGGCCACTGCATAAATTAGTTTGCTCCAGAGCCCTCCCTTCCTGAGCTAAGGCAAAAATGCGTGAGCCGGAGGCTAAAAAACTGTGAGCTAGCTCACACTCACTCAGCTTAGAGGGAACACTGCTCTGGAGCCATCCCTTCCTGAGCTAAGACAAAAATCAGCGAGCTGGAGGCTAAAAAACTGTGAGCCAGCTCGTACTAACTCAGCTTAGAGGGAACACTGACCCACACAGAGAAGGCCCAAGTGCAGGGGATATGAGGAATATTATTTTTTTTTTAATGCCCTGGGAAGGAGGAGTGTGAGAGAGAATAAAACCAACGCTGGGAGAGGGAGGAAAAGTTTTCTTGGTCAACTCTCTCCACCCCGTGCATGATTTTATAAACTTCTGTCATGTCCCCCCTTAGTCACCTCGTTTCTAAACTGAAAAGTCCCATAAGGAAGGCGCTCCAACCCCCTCATCCTCTTGGGTTTTTTCTGTCTCTGCAATGTCCTTTTGGACATAGGGTGGCCAGAACTGTACACAGTATTCCTAATGAGGCCGCACCGCAGGGGCAATATAATATTGGCTGTTTTATTCTCAGTCCCTTTCCTGATAATCCCTAGCACACAGTTTGCCTTTTTCGCTGCCGCAGCACACTGGATTGACGCTTCCATTGAGCTGTCCACGACGACCAGTGTTCCCTCTAAGCTGAGTTAGTGCGAGCCAGCTGACAGTTTTTTAGCCTCCGGCTCATACACTTTTGTCTTAGCCCAGGAAGGAGGGCTCCAGAGCAAACTAATTTAGGCGGTAGCCAAATCGCTCGCTCACAACGTTAATGCCAGTAGCTCACAATGTACAGTTTTTGCTCACAAGACTCCACAGCTTAGAGGGAACATTGACTACGACCCCAAGATCTTTTCCCCCCTCTAGTCTCAGCATGTTCAGACCCCATTAGCCTATACTTGAAGTCAGGATTTTTGTTAAGGAATCCTTAATAGTATCTAGGCCCGTAGCTACAGTGGGGTTTTGGGGGGCTCTGCCCCCTTTCTTAAAGGCATAGCCCCAAAAGAATTTCTCCTGTAAATGCTTTTTTCAATCATGTTAAAACATTTTTTTTAAAGGCGTGCACTCCTTTGAACAGAGGGGGGTGCTGTAGCTGACTGATTTCCACACTGAGCAAGGGGGTTGGAGTAGGTGACCTCTAGGATACCTTCTGACTCTGTGTCAAGGAACTGGTCTCCTTTAAGAGAGTTTTTTTCCTGCCCAAGTGTTAGCTTTCTTGACTATAAGAAGTCATCACCCCCACCAGCCAGCTTGTGATCAGAACTGTTGCTTAGGCTGGCAGAAGTGATTAACTTGCGGCAGCTGAGAACTGTCCTCTCAAGTGGTTGACAGTTTGCGATTTAGAGATCTGTCCTGGTAACAGCTTTCTGTTGGCTAAATGGCTTTTATTTTCACACTGAGAGCTTCAGCCCCACCAGGGAAAAAAAATGCCCCCCAAGCCACAAAATCCTGGCTCGGCCTGATGATATCTGACTCTGGTGAAGTACTGGGCGGGTGGGGTGCTACTTCAGGCTACATGAAATTGTAAATAAAGACTGCTTTCTTTCTCTTCTCCCCCCCCCCCCCCCCCCAGCAGCCTTTAATAGTAACAGAAGAGCTCCATTCTCTCTGTTTTGAAACGACGCTGGAACAGGGCGGGATAATCATCGATCTCGAGGTAAGACGTGGAATCAGAGGTCTGTGTCTGACTTAGGGTTGCCCGGGAGCGACGTGAACTGACCCACCGCAGAATCCTAGCCTCTGTTACAGGGGATAACCAAAAAATGAAGGGTACTTTGGAAAAAATACAGAAGGGGAAATGGCTTATTGGTTTAGGAACCAATTTAACAGTAGAACCCTGTGCCCAGAAAATGAATGGGTGGGGTTGCCAAGTCTGGGTTGGAAAATCTTGGGGGGGGGGGGTCTGGGGAGGGTGGGGTTTGGGGAGAGGAAGGACTTTAGTGGTGTATAATGCCATAGAATCCATCTTCTAAAGCAGCCATTTTCTTTAGGTAAACTAACCTCTGTCGCCTGGAGATCAGTTGTAATCCCAGATATCCAGCCGCCAACTGGAGGATGGCAACCCTAAGAATCACACACACACAGTACCTGGATGAGGGAGAAGCAGAAGTGAAATGGGGGGCGGGGAGGCTTCAAGTGCAAACAGGGAGGAGAGATTTCAAAATATCCCGAGCTACAAGCCACCTTCTGTACAGTGTTAAAAATCAGCAGGTGTTGACAGAGCCAAGGATTCACATCATCAGGAAAACTGGCAACTTTATTGCACACAATGAACCACTTCTAAATTGCACCGTGCCGCCAGGTAACCGTTGGTTGGTTTAATCGGAGATCAGGGGGCCTCCTTCCGTTTAGTAGGGTTCCGTGTCGACCGTTCGTGTCTGCAAAGCTCAAAGCGTCATTTTGCCAAAACATATAAACACAAAGTGCCTCTTAAGAAGCAAAAATGTTGTCTTCTTCTCAGTATAACATGATGCTTGAAATATTTCGTTGCCTGGAGACCAGTGTTAATTCCAAGAGATCTCCAGGCTCCACCCGGAGGCTGGCAACCCTGCCTAATGGTGCGGGATTCCTCCATGCTGAAGCACAGATTGCTTTAGCTGGCTAAGCAGAAGCACCGATGTTCTAAGGCAGAGTTCCTGAAACGTTTTTTTAAAATAAAAAGAGTCTCATTAAAGTAATGGTCATAAGTAGGGTTGCCAGGTCTTCCCTGGCTGGCGGGGGCGGGGGGTGGGGTGTCGTTATCTCACAGGGCACATTGTGGGCAGGGCCTCTATCAGTGGAGGAAAAACTGTAGAGATTTTTCTCGAACGATAGTGTCACCCCCGCACCTCCGAGGGACGTCATCGCGCCAGGCACGTTGGTGAGAACGTGGCGCTTTGGGGGTGGGGTTCCCCCCACTGGCTGGATCCGGCCCTGCGAATTGGGGGCCCTGAAAGTGGGCAAACCCCCGCCCCCAGTGGGGGTATGACAAGCCTAGTAATTAGTTTGGTGTAGTGGTTAAGTGTGTGGATTCTAATTTGGGAGAACCGGGTTTGATTCCCCACTCCTCCACTCATGCCTGGCTGGATGACCTTGGGTCAGTCACAAGCTCTGGCACAGCTGTCCTTGAAAAAGAGCCGTTTCTGTCAGAGTTCTCTCAGCCCCACCCACCTCACAGGGTGTCTGTTGTGGGGAGGGGAAGGGAAAGGAGATTGTAAGCCACTCTGAGACACCTTTGGGTAGTGAAGGGCGGGGCATAAATCCAATCTCTTCTTCTTTTACCTCACTGAGTGTCTGTTGTGGGGAGGGGAGGGGAAGGGGTATAAATCCAATCTCTTCTTCTTCTTCTTTTACCTCACAGGGTGTCTGTTGTGGGGAGGGGAAGGGAAAGGAGAGTAAGCCGCTCGGAGACACCTTTGGGTAGTGAAGGGCGGGGCATAAATCCAATCTCTTCTTCTCTTCTGATTGGTTCTAATTCAGACCCTAATTTCCTTGCATGGACCATTGCTTTCTGTCAACTTATTTTTGCTCATAGGTTGAATTTTTCTTTAAATTATATTTTATTACAAGCATTTTTCTGTTTTCTCCTGCCATCTTGCCTTTCTAGACCACTTCCCTTCCGATTATTGTGATCTCCAACGTCAGCCAGCTGCCGAGCGGGTGGGCCTCCATTTTGTGGTACAACATGCTTTCAAATGAGCCCAAGGTAATAATGATCGAAATGAACGAGGGGAAGGGGAATGAAAGTTTCTCTTCACGTTTTGTCCAACAAGATATTCCCCCCCCCCCAAAGGCTGATTACCAGAGTTGGTATTCCAATTCCCTTTTTTAAAAAATAAAAGAAAAATTCAGTTGCGGTTGCTGTACAAGATTAAAAACGGAGAAAGTGTGAAAACACGCCAGTGAGACGTCAGTGTTTAAATTAAATTCGTGTCCCACTGATAAAGAAAGATGTGGAGAATGACGGGATAGAAAGCGGAAGGTGTAATTTCTGAATCTGAAAAAAAAATATTGTAAGAAGTTGTATCAACACAAAGACCCAAACACGAGAGATTTCAATGAATGACAAAGGTCCCAATGAGTTAAGAACATAAGGTCACAAGAGAAGCCAGTGCTGGTGGATCAGGCCAATGGCCCATCCAGTCCAACACTCTGTCACACAGTGGCCAAAAATACCAGCTGCCCTCAGGAGGGCCAGCAGTGGGGCCAGGACACGAGAAGCCCCCTCCCACTGTCACCCCCCCAAAGCATCAAGAATACAGAGCATCACTCATCCTGGACTGAGAGTTCCTATCTACCCCTTGTGGCTAATAGCCACCAATGGACCTCTGCTTCATACGTTTATCTAATTTCGTCTTGAAGCTGTCCATGCTTGTAGCCGCCACCACTTCCTGTGGCAGTGAACTCCATGTGTTAATCACTCTCTGGGTGAAGAAGTCTTTCCTTTTATCCTTCCTAACCCGACTGCTCAGCAATTTCACGAGTTCTTGTACTGTGAGAAAAGGAGAAAAGTACCTCTTTCTCAACCTGCTCTATCCCAAGCATCATCTTGTAACATGTAACACGTACACACTCAAGAAGCCCTTAAAGCTTTTTGTGCATGCATCAAAATGCTCTGGTGTTTCCCCCAAGTGACAGTGTTGTGTCTGCTTTGGAGACCACTGCCTTTGGGGTCTCCAGTTTGAAGAGCAGCTTGTTTTGGGTGGGACTGGGACGCGACTTCGAAAAGTTGGGGTCATTAAAAAAAAATGGCGCAAGTGTGGACACTTCTGTCGCTGGATCTGACCCGTTCGACATCCCAACTCTCAATGTTGCTCTTCCTTTCCCTTTTAGAATTTGTCCTTTTTCCTGAACCCCCCCTGCGCAAGGTGGTCCCAGCTTTCGGAAGTGCTGAGCTGGCAGTTTTCATCCATGACGAAAAGGGGGCTGAATGCCGATCAGTTGAACATGCTGGGGGAGAAACTACTCGGTATGTGGCAACATCAGTCTGGTGCGCTGACAGCTCTTAGAGGGCCAGTTCGGCATGGTGGTTCGGCGTGGACTCTAATCTGGGAGAACCGGGTTTGATTCCCCACTCCTCCTCATGCAGCTGCCGGTGTGACCTTGGGTCAGTGACAAGTTCTTTCAGAGCTGTTCTCTCAGGGGTAGTCCTCAAAGGAGCTCTCTCAGCCCCGCCTACCTCACTGGGTGTCTGTTGTGGGGAGGGGAAGGGAAAGGAGGTTGTAAGCCGCTCTGAGAGTCCTTCAGGTAGTGAAGGGTGGGGTATAAATCCAGTCTCTTCTTCTCTTTTCCTGTCCTTTCAAGAAAAACATTCTTGTCTTAACGATGGTTCATTAGACAACTTTCCTTCTCATTGGAGATTGATGTAATATTTGTACTCGGCAAATCGTGTTCTCTAGACTCTGGCGAAACGGTCTGTCTTGGGGGGGCCCTGACGGATTCATTTAAAATTACCTCAGAGTTTGTTCTTCTGAATAACATTTCCTGACTCTGCTCCCTATATGGTGGAGCGGGGGAAGAGTTAGCTGAGGGAGAATACTTTGGGAAGGGGCAGTGCCATGCCTGTCAGGATCGGGCCCGTCAGTATTTGTCTGCCAGTTGCTCAGGCCTTTCCCACACGCACTCTCTCCCTTCCCCCCGTTGTTACCGTTTCGTTAAAAAATACGTTTCTCGTCTTGCATCCAGGCAGCAGCGTATGGAAAACAACAGTAAAACCGCAGTTCTAGCTTGCGGAAATGAAACCATCTCCTCGGAGCTGCTTATAGAAATGCCAGGTGCTGAACTTCCTCCAGAGGGACACTGAGAGATGGGAGAAGGAAGGTTCCATCACGCAGCTCTAGGATTCAGTGGAAAGTCTGTGGTAAAACCATAGAGTTCCAACTGAATCCTAGAGTGGTATGATGTCACTTCCAGATTTGCCCTGGAAATGATGTCATGCTGTTGACGTGGCAATTTCCCCTTGATTACCATAGCAGGCAATCTGGCAACCCTAGCTGCTTAAAATCTACCTTCAACAGTTATGTGGAAAGAAGTTAAAGAACAAAGTTTGAGTCGGGGGGGGGCACCTTTAAGACCAACAAAGTTTTATTCAAGGTAAAAACTTTTGTGTGCAAGCCCAGTTCTTGAGATACAGGAGATAGTTACAGAATCTCTCCAGCTGTATTCCGGGGCGCTTCCTGAATCTCTTCCCCTTCCCACAGTACAAAAGAGCAAGAGTCTAGGGGCACCTTAAAGCAGGCCTATTTTTGGACAGGAACGCACAGGAACAGAGTTCCCGCTTGCTCCTGAGTTGGCCACGCCCAGCAGGAACTCATTAGCATAATAGGCCACACCCAACAGCAGAAACCCATTAGGATTGGCTACATTAGGGATGTGTGGCCTAACATGCAAAGAAGTTCCTGCTACAAAAAAAGCCCAGGGTTTTGAGAACAAAGTAAACAGAATAAGAAGCAAAAGGTGGGTGTGGTTGGATGACCACACTTCTGGTAGCATGTGGGGTGTGGCCTAATATGATAATGAGCTGTGCTGTCAGGGGTGTGGCCTATTATGCTAATGAGCTCCTGCTGGGCTTTTTCTACAAAAAAAGCCCTGCCTTAAAGACTAACACACCTTGTGGCAGGGTATGAGGCTTCGTGAGTCAGGACTCACTTCTTCAGATTTCCCTTCCTGCAAGCATTGCTCACCGCGTGAGAATTTCTCCCAACACCCATCGATCGCTGTCCTGTGAGCTTGGTGCCTAGTCTTGTGGAAGGCTTACTCAGCGCCTGGAAGCACATGCGAGGGATTGGGCCCCTCCGTTGTTCCAAGGTTGCAAATTTATACTCCATTAAGTTGAAAAGTGGGAGGACACACTCTGCAAATGTGCTTTTCTGGGCTCCCCAGAGGAGGAAGGGCAAGGTAGAAGCGTGGTAACCGAGAAGATGTGGGTCATGGTTTGGGGGGGGGGATTTATGGGAAGACGAAAATCCTTGGAGATTGCAGCGCATGTTAAGATTTAGACCACTGGATGTTTGTCTTTGTTAGGTGGCCCACTTCTGGTGGGCTGAGAAACTGGGACCCTTGGGACACAGCTGTCTTCAGAAAAGTCTCAGGGAACAGAACAGTGGGGCTTTTAAACACACCACCGCAGCAAGACAAGAGTTGGGTGTTAGTGATGAACTGCAAAAAGCCAATACATGCAGAGCCGCTCTAGCAGACAGGGAAGCCGTGACCAGATCTCCTGATCCTTATTCTAAATTTTGTTCAAAGTCGCCATGTTCCTACCCAGATGTTGTGTGGGGCTACTATGGGGCTCTTCTTCCATCGATTTCGCCCCCCACCACCACTTAAACCCCACCCCGGCCACGATCCCAATGTAGAGGCAGAGGAAGCTTTTTAACCCAAAAGTAGGGAGATCCTATCAACAGGGAGATCTAGACATAAGAAGAAGAAGAGATTGGATTTATACCCCGCCCTTCACTACCCGAAGGTGTCTCAGAGCGACTTACAAACTCCTTTCCCTTCCCCTCCCCACAACAGACACCCTGTGAGGTAAAAGAAGAAGAGATTGGATTTATACCCCGCCCTTC